TAAAATCAGTCTTGCAGGGCAGCGTTTACTTGGAAATCAATGGATACAGTCCACAGATTGTTAACGCGAGAACAGCCAAAATGTCTTCTGGGAAAATGATCACTTTATAGAAGGAACACCATATTAGCAGCGGAAACTTTCTTTACGGTGTCCTGAGTCGTGCGTAGGTTTGGCGGGACAAGGAGCAGGGAGCACCCAATGTGATAAACGCCAAAGGAGTCCGGGGCACCAATCGGGAGGAGAGAACACAGCAGGGTTAATGGTTAGCCACCACTCCATTGACCAACAGTGCAACCGATCCAACGTTGTCTGTAGGCGGTCAGCATCATAAAGCTTTGACATAGTTTGACATAGTTTCAGATCGTCAGCATATATGATGTACTCAGTTTGGGGTTCGGATGAAGGAATATTGATGTAGATTTAGTAGAGGTCAAGACCAAGTACAGAGCCATGTGGGACCCCAATGATCATAAAAACAGGACTGGAGTAGGTATTATTCACTTTCAGTTGCATGCTTCTACTATTCAAAAAGTCAGCGACTCAGAAGAGTATCTTCCCAGAAACGCCAATCCCCCGTAGTAGGAGAAGGAGATATCCATGAAGAGCTTTGTCAAACAACTTGCAAAAGTTGACGAAAAAGACAGCCAGACGATCACTGGCATCCAGCGATCTCACCCGTTTTTCCTTGGCAACAAGCAAGTTAGAGACAAAAGTACGTGCTTCCGAAAACTATGTTGAGCGCATGAAATGATATGTAGGTTCCCTAGTTGAAGATCTAGGGCTCTCTTAAAATTATTTCCATGATTTAACAAATTTCGATGTCCGACAGATCGGACGGCAGTTTGCACGATCCTGACGCTCTTCCCCCTTGTATATGCATACTAGTGTCCACTGAAATTCATGTGTTCATTAGTCAACATACCTGCATATAGTGACTTCAATTACCTAAGGAAATAGCACTTACCACGGAAATTTTGAGGCTTCATTGCGGAACTGCAATATATATTGCCACCCAGTCCTATACCAGTCCCACAGAGTAATGAAGTGCGTCACTCTGCTTTCACGAGTGCCAGTCAGTCTTGAAGGATGACAGATGCAAAAAATTTGCAGTCGATAGAGATCAGACTGATTCCTCTATAGTTGCCGCATTCCGATCGTGAGCCTCCCTTGCGAATTGGGACTATTACGGAGCGACTTCAGTCGGTTACGACAGTTTCCTGCTCCCACAGTTTCACTAGTAACTCCTATAAATCATCCACAAGAGAAGGTCCACCGAATCTGAAAAGGGCTGAGGAAGATCATCGGGTCATGGGGTTTTAATTAACTTCAACAGTGCGGTCTCACTTTCGACTTCTGAGCGAGAGGGTGGATCCAAAGGGACAGCCCACGGAGCCGGACGATCAGTGCCTGACGAGAAAGCGAACAATTCCGACCGATTAAATTGCCTTTCAAAGTGGTCAACCCAATGCTTCAAGCGTTTTGACAAGTTGTGGATAAGCTGTCCACTCTCGTCAAGTGTAGTTTCACTAACACTAGGTCTCCTGCTGCCAGTTTCCCGTATTAGCAGGCATAACCTCCGATGATTACCAAGGGCAGCGGTCATTTCCATCTCTGAAGCACGACGAGACCACCAGAATTCGCAGTCTCTGTTCAGGCTATCACGGAGTTTTGCCTGGAGCTCTTTGCGTGTTTCATTGTGTTCGCCTCCAGTCGGAATAAGCCGGTGAGCATCGATAAGTTTCAGAGACTGCGAAAAGAGCCAATGTCCATATTGTCGATTAGACTTACCACATGAGGATTTCCCTGCTGCTAGTAAGGTCTGGTGAATATGAGACCAGTGAGCGCGTACTCAACTCGCATGACCGCATACTTTGATAAGCATTTATAACAGGTGGCTTCGCCAGTTGGCTGATCTCAATGCGGTCACAACGTCGCTGTGAGCGTCCGCCAAAACGTATCCGCAGGTCAGCACATACAAGTGCATGATCGGTGTCTACACATGTGCTCCAAATCGAGCGACAGTTATGGACGCAGCCTTACCATCGGTAACTTAGCGCAATGTGATTGATTTACGTCCATAGCTGGTTCGAGACTGGTGGGCGCCAAGTCACTTTCCGGCGGGTGCTGTGTCGGAAAGTAGTGCTCACAAGAAATAAGCAAGCATCCTCATACAAATGAAATAACCGTTCACTGTTATCATTACGGGAGCCTACACCATGTTGGTCGCCCAGATGCTGTTCATCAGTGGAGAATTTTCCAACTTGAGCATTCAGATCCCCACCCAGCACTACAGTGTCCGAGCTTCTTCTGTGGCGAAGGAGCTGGTTCAGTTGCCGATAGAAGTCGGGTTTTACTGAGTCATCGCTAGAGTTTGTGGGTGCATAGACAACGATAACGAATAGACACCTGTTAGTCCCGCGCGACTTCGAAACTTTGAACGAGTCAGCCAATCGGACTGCACACAACCGGCTACTGATTGGAATCCAGTCAACCAGAGCGGCTTCAACCGGAGGACTCAGGGCAATACCAACACCGGCTTGGACGGTGCTCGAAGCTGCATTGTCACCTGATAGGCGCGATGAGAAAGTGCTGCTGGTGTCACCTGAAGGGGATCGCAAAGTGAGCACTGAGCTCGAGTCTTACAGGCGGGTCTCCGATAAGCAGCAGATATCGATCGAGACGGTCTCTAAAGTTCGGGCAAGTGCTGCCTGTTGACCGAGCTAAAACAGGGTTTGTACATTGAGGCATACCAATCTGAAGGATAATCGAGGGCTCCAAATGCAAGCCGATGAACTGGGCTTGACTGCTTGCTTGGACATGGGCCTGTTGACAGGGTAGGAATGACGCTCCGCGTTCACATGTGAGTCGAAACTAAAAGACAAGCGACTATTGAAGCAAGGTAGGGGAGGGCCAAGAATTGGGGGGTTATAATCAGGGGGAGATAAAATGAAGCTGGAAAGGGACGGTAAGAGTAAAAAGTGTAGGAGTGGAAATAAGAACATGAGTAGGTTTGAGCAGTAACATGCAAGTCCCTATCTACCCTGCTCGATGCAACAGATGGGCGCCGTTTATTATCCTCTGCGGTAGCGGGAATATCGTGGAATTTTTTGAACATTATGCCCTAAGAGGTAATGGAATACAAGTATTCGTAAAAGAAGTACTTTGAAGATTGTGTGAAGATAGTGCGTTTCCATCAGACGGCTGACGTCGACAATTGTTAGCAACGACATTTGTTAAGCCATGAAACTGCGGTTTGAAAAGACCGAGTTCATCACAATCTGTGAACAAGCCCAGTCAACCCTTAGTTCTAGAACAGGGATGTCCGAACTTTTTGTAAGGAAAGCCACATTTTGTGAGGTAGAAATATGTCGGGCCATATTCAGGCTGACAATAAAATAATAACAATAATTACACAAGTATGAAAAAAGCCAAGCCTGAATTTATTATTTCATGATGATACCGCGGGCCAGTTGAAATGTTAACGCGGGCCGCATTTGGCACGCTGGCCGGACTTTGGACAACCCTGCTCTAGAGGGTTAAAAATTTGCGTTTCAAATGCAGACTTGAGAATGTGACTGTGCCTTAACTCGGCACCAGTACTGTTTTCATTACTGGTTGTAAAAGCCCAGCAATTATGTTGCTAATTTAAAGTGGACTTTTTGTATGGTAACTGGGGTTGCGTGGATTCCTTGTAGGCGTCGCGTGTATCTGACAAGGAAAAAACTTCGGCTTATAGTAGACCATAGGTAACAAATATGAGAGAGCTATTTACTGTTCCTACCGCTGGGCATAGGTCTGAGTTAACATAGTCTGCGGGTAGTTCGACACGGATAACCGACGAGGGATAGCGCCATTCATTTTTTCCACGCGAAGATCGCAGGATGCACGAGTCTGTCAACGCCGTCTAGAGTCATGTGGGCCATCCTAAGCGTATGACGACATTAGGTACTTGTGTCCTGTCTGGTAGCCGATCGGTTAATCTGGTAGGCTTTGAAGCGTGCATACAACCACTCAAAATGTCTCATCACACCTAACGGACTGAACTAGGGACTGGAGTACAGTAGTGGCATGTTTCTCGTTGTTAGGCAAGTAGGAATTAAGTAACTTGATAGTCTACTTATGACAAGCTAAGGCTTTTCTAGTGAGCACTCGACGAGCTTTGTGTTACGAGCAACATTATATGACTCCCCACCAACCGTCTACTTTTCACTTGACTCGTAGTGGTTTAAGTGTGTTCAAAGCGGTCCTCCAACTGAAGGTACATTTGAAACGGGCTGCGTAACGCAAACACCAGCCTGAAATCCTGATTGTAACTGGAGTAATGGAAAATAATTGCGTGACTTTTTCAATGGCTTGAAGCATCAAACAACATCGCGGAATTTGTCGAAGTGCAATAGATCAAGCATCGGTGAAACCAACAAATCAATCGATGCCATATTTCTGGTCTAGGAGGACCAATCGTGAGCTCACATACCCCCACTGACGTAGCATAGTTTAGGAAAGTTGAGCTGTAATATTTGGATTTCATTACGTTGATCGTTTCTGAAAGAGTATTGGCGTGCTTCCACATGGACATGAAATCAATATTCGTTCAAAGTGCCTAAGGACGTACAAATCGAGTTTGTATCACGGGATCCTTTTCGTCAGCAATCCGAAACACCCCATTTATAGCGTGAAACGGAGTGAGAACTAAGTATTGACTAATGAATTCTTTTCGGTTAAGCTCTTGTCATTATCAGGCGTCTGGGTTTTGACAAGTTTTACCAAGAACTTTTCTCAGTAATTTCCTCTAACTTTGATAAATGTGGCTTTATCCTCACGTGTTTTTAAGCTGCACTGGTGCTAATGGATACACAGGCGTACTTTTGGAGCAATAAAAAGCATGTATATCAACACCGTTTTTCATGTTCACTAAGCAAGGTTTCTAGGTACCTAAATAAATGAGAACCTGGCCATCACTTCTGGTTTGAGTTTGCTATCACCTTTTATGCTTTAACTAGGTCTATACCGGCAAGATAAAACAGAAACGACGCTTATGAATTGCTGTAACCCACACCCCGGTTGCTATCCACGGGAGATCAAGGTGTACAGGAATCCGGATGGCTCAAGTTCAAGAAGCACTACTAGAATTCGTAGATGGAATGAACGGTTCCAATCACTTCGAATGATCCGACACGGTAACACTAAAAGACGAGCAGACGAGTTTGAATCCATGTAACCGTTCGGACAGGAGGTTGATTTTGTGGCATGCAGGTTTCGATTCCATGAAGCTCACAAATATGCAAACTTTCTCTGTGCATTTGTCGAAAGCTGATCAAACCCTGTGAGTGCGCGAACCTAATAGGCGCTACACTCTGCCATTGTTTGTACGTTGATTATGTGGGCTTTTTATCTTTGTAATGTATAATGGTGACAATTCAATCTTACTTGTTCTTATGGGCTTTGCATTATATTTAAACACAATCTTGCGACAAAATAACTTGCCTTTCAATTATTCCTAGTAGTTATACCTTATGCACAGGCAAAATTTAATTCGCAGTTTCTTATGAACATTTTTGTGTGTAGGTTCTCCTAGTCTGACATAAAACGGCTTCGTCAGAGGGCACTAGCCGACCACAACTACAAGTGAACGTGGAACGTTATCGTATAGATCATTTCCTTTCCCTGACACTAAGAGAGTCTGTGTGAATCATAGTGGACTCGCAAGTTCGCGATTGCTCTGTGTAATCCGACTCCTAGATATATTATCCCGAAGAAGCCGAAATGGTGGCGTTTCTCGAATACATCAGCTGCACGCACAAAGAATGTAAACTAATCGTTCAGCTGGGCTTTTCTAATTAAAATGTATGCACAATATTCATTTCTGTTAAGGAAGCGTATAAATTGCTTTCTATCGGTGTACACAGAGCTTACAGCAACAAAGTTCTTAAGCAGAGTATTTATTTCACTCAGCAGCATCCACCAAAGTGTCAAGTCAATCAGGCCATTCTCCAAGCTGCGATCTGATGGCATTTCACCAACCACCATTAAACAAGGATGGCCTGATATACGATTGCCGCTGGAATCTAGCTACTTTTCAGATCAACGAAAAATGTCATTTGTCATGCCTCAGCACAAAGGAGGTCCTAAACAAACAATTGATAAGCACCGACTAATCCTCCACACTCCCTCGGTTATTTGAAAAACTGGTCATAAAGGAAAGGATAAACTTTGTCCATTCTTGTGACCTGCTCAATAATTTGCAGCATGGTTTTCTTAGCAAACGATCGTGCACTATCTGCCAGCTGCATTACTTGAACCAGATTTCAGAATCGATCAATTACGGCTATGCAGCAGTATTTCTGTCTCTGGACTATCACCAAGCATTCTACTGAGTACCACACAAGCGATTGTTACAAAATTGGAGACCTCTGGAATCCGGGACTCATTACTAGGTTGGCTATCGTCATATCCGAGTGGTCGTCATCAGGTGATCACTTGAAGTGACTATCGTTATTCTTCACGCCCCACCACCAGTGGGGTCAATCAATGGAGCTTGCTCTACATCAAAGACATCCACACATTTGCAAAACATGGTCGGCCATGTTTTCTGTAATTCGTTTTGGATTTCTATTACGATCTGGCGGATCTTCTTGGATGCTGACTTTGCTCAGAACTCTCATGAGAATCTGAAACTGATTTATCATCAGTGTTTTCAATGCATACCGAATCGAATGACAACTGTACGGAGTTATTGTTTCGCACCTGATCAACACGCCGTTTATGTACAGAGCACACATCGAGATCCAAAATTATGCCCATGCGACTTCCCAGCTTGTTAACAATGTTTCCATCTGAAGGAGGTAAATCATTGTCCTTGAAATAAGCTACTTCAGCGCTTCCCAAACCAAGCATGTTCAACCTCAATGGTCTGGATCTACCCAATTTAGTGGGTGTATCTCCAGTCGTGGAATGCACACAGTTACGGTATTGCAGAAGGAAGTTATCAACACAGCGATCATGTTCGTCAAATGAAGTAGCAGCACAGGAGGTAACAGAATGTTGTAAACTTGCAACAAACTTCTCAGCTAAGCCATTAGAGCATGAATGTCTTGGAGCCTTAAAAAGGTGACGACACCCAAGACTCTGCAGCCAACTGGTAATAACCGAAGCTGAAAAGTATGAACCATTGTCACTTACAACAACTAACGGGACTCCTTCTCTACTAAACACATTTCTCAAAACACGGACACTAAAATCAGCATTTGAATAAGAATCCCTCTGCACAACTGCATATAATTTCTGCAGAAACGGCCCACAATAATTAATATGTAGCCTTTGCCAGGGCTCGCAAGTCATCGGCCATGATGTCCACTTGGACGGCTGCTGTAGAACCTTGTGTTTGCACCTCGGGAAATCAAAAGCAGTTGGTCGAATATCTGCATTTAATTCAAGTCACCAGCAAAAGAATCAAGCTGAAGACTTCATCTTCTCAACACCAGGATGGCAAAAATGTTAATCTGTCAGAAGAGCTAGTCTCAAAGTCGCCGGAACAAAGATACGGTCATTCACACACAGTAATCCATCAGGTATAACACACAATAAGGGTTGAGGGGGCTAGTGGAAGCACCCGAGTGAATAGACAACTCATTTCAGCATCGACTTCGAATTCCATTGAATTTCATGATAACTAGTCGAAGTGAGGAATGAACCATACACCTTCGTGCTCAGTCACATAGGTATTTGCACTAAGAGAAACGCTCCACCTATGAACAATAGCTGAGGACGATTTAGCTGAAGAATTCGCAGGGTTTTAAATGAATTTAAGGCTTCATGATCTGTCACAATAGTAAATCTGAGACCGAACAAATCTTTTGGAAGTTTAGTGACGGCCCAATATACATGCAAAGTTGCTCGATGGATCTGAGAATATCCTTTTACGGCATTACTGAGTCGACGATAGGTACACCGAACATCCACCATTAATCTACTATCGCCCATTGGACGTCTGAAGGACAGGAACTTCGGTCTATTGGGAAGTGACGGGTGAGTGAGCCAATCTGCAACATCAGGACAGGTACTGTGAGCTTATTGGCAACACGTCGCGCACCAAGCAGAAGACATGTGTTAAAATTTGCGCACCTAATCGTCAGCCCTCGGTAGCTCAGGTGGTAGAGCAACGGACCGGAAATTCGAGGACCGGGGTTCGACTCCCCGTCGAGGCATATTATTGTGCGTGAATTTTAATCGTGGCTTCCACTTTCTTCGAAATTTACACTACTCACAAACATACACCGAACAGAGTGTCCATCCTGCTCAAAACGCAGCATATATATCGGCTGGTTAGGTATCTATGAAAAATACGGTTGATAGTTTCTGAGAGAATGTACGAACAACACAGCCATATGTAGGTGTTTTCAAAATCATTCGAACATTCTCAAATTTGAAACAATTAGATACCTTTAGTAATTTGTGTAAGGCCGTAAGAAGACGAACACTGGCAGGTGTCAACATTCTGTATTTTCTCTTCAGTGCCAAGACAATAACATGAAAATATACGAGACGACAGGTAAGGTGAGACCGGAACAAGTTAGAACAGGGTAGGGGGCAGGCGTGACATCCCTACGCCTAGAGCAGCCGTAGGCTTACGAACAACTGTTCCTGCACATATTGCGGATTTGATACGGCTGATCGCGACTGCCTCTGTGAAACGTAGGAAATGGGCATTAGCATCTCTTAACACGATTGTAAACATTTTGGCCGGATCACACTGATGACAGGTGGCCAGTAAATGCTTACCTATGAATGAAACAGGTGGCTTACGTGAACAGGTGGTATGAGCGACCGACGCCTGGGTGATTTGAATCTGCAACCATTTGGATACATGTTTCCTTATTCTGGAGTTCGACGATCTATTTGGTATGGCCGGTGTAGTGTATACCACAATTACAAGTAAATTCGTAAATATGATATGAGTTGGCGCCAATAGGTTATCTTTCTGTCATTGAGGTAACCGGTATTCGATTAGTCCGGTTGATAAGAACAGTTTCGGCAGCATACTAAGTCCTCTGAACTGCGGAACTTAAGCGCTTCGTTGTCCTCATATTGGCAAAATCTTCCTTAAATGATAGCTCGATATAGACCTTTTTAGACACTGTCGAAACCTTCTGTCCCAGCACCCTTGTCTGACTATATTTGTCGATGAGTTTCTTGGCTAGCCATTTTTCAACATCGTATCCTTGAGCGAGTTTATCTCATCATCTAAACTTGCGCGGTTGAATAGCGTCTTGACTAAAGTCCGCTTTTACCGCATTAGGGAGAAGCTGGTAAAGTGGAGGTACTGCCCTGACCAAGTCGGTTTTCGGTAAACCTCTCTTTTGATGGACCCGTCTGGTCTTCGGCATATCAACACGTCCAGCTATAGGAGGCAGTCGCTATTCGCTGTTTCGCTGGTTACTTTCAGATTCGGATGCACGTTATTCAGTCGATCGACCAGACGCAAGATGTGCTCCTCTGATGAGCTAAACACTAAAAATATATAATATAAAAATATCATCCACCTACCGCTTATAGTAGGAAAGAAACGATTTTTCTACACTCAACCGTTTCATTCATCGACATGAACAAATCTGCTAGCACTGGGCCCAACGGACTACCCATTGCCACCCCATCTATCAGGCGATTAGGAATGTTTTGGAATTGGAAATCGATGTTCTCAGTGCATAGTAGTAATCTGTCCTTTAATAATTCGACTGGCATTGGAAGGGCTACAACGGAGCACTTTGTCATTTCACACACGTAATCAACTGTTTCATGTAGCAGAACATTGGTGAAAAGCGATTGTACATCCAATGTGGCCATGACTTTATCGGATAGGTTAAACTCATCTAAAGCCTCTGTAAACTCGAAAGAGTCCTTCACACGGTATGGGATAGTCTGCCGCTTTAACGGCGCAAGAAATTCCACCAGCCAACGAGCTATTCAAGTAGCTTCATCGACAAATATAGTCAGACAAGGGTGCTGGGACAGAAGGTTTCGACAGTGTCTAAAAAGGTCTATATCGAGCTATCATTTAAGGAAGATTTTGCCAATATGAGGACAACGAAGCGCTTAAGTTCCGCAGTTCAGAGGACTTAGTATGCTGCCGAAACTGTTCTTATCAACCGGACTAATCGAATACCGGTTACCTCAATGACAGAAAGATAACCTATTGGCGCCAACTCATATCATATTTACGAATTTACTTGTAATTGTGGTATACACTACACCGGCCATACCAAATAGATCGTCGAACTCCAGAATAAGGAAACATGTATCCAAATGGTTGCAGATTCAAATCACCCAGGCGTCGGTCGCTCATACCACCTGTTCACGTAAGCCACCTGTTTCATTCATAGGTAAGCATTTACTGGCCACCTGTCATCAGTGTGATCCGGCCAAAATGTTTACAATCGTGTTAAGAGATGCTAATGCCCATTTCCTACGTTTCACAG